GAGCGCTTCATCGATCGCAGGCATCATTGTCTTGAGCCTATCCCTATCCGATACGGTGAGGTTAATCTCTCTTCCAGGAACCAATGGAATCCCTCTCGTTTGTTACAATAAAACATCTCTAAACTTTACATTCGCGAAACTTTTCAACAACCACTTGACGGGTGTCTGTCAATTTTAATCCAATGATAGACGTGGCATCCTCCATGGGTTCTGATTGTTTTGGGTTTGATGGCGTCGTCATTCTTTTTTTCGAACAATGCTCTTTTCTTAGATTCCTTATTAGTTTTCTTCAAGTCAGGTTTTTCAAAGGTACTTGAGCCAAGAGATTACGCCTGTTGATCTTTTCAATTTCTTTACGAAATTCAGAGACTTCGTTCAGATCACCTCTTGAATCCCAACTACAGCCTAGTCTATGACTTATATTTTTGTGTGTGATTATTCGTCGATAAAATGTTGAAACTGTCTCCGTTACACGTGTTTTTATACCCTTTTAAGAGAAGGAACTGCGCAATCTTGTGAAACGCAGAGGTTAAAAGTAGATCGTGACGACATCCCTACAAAATAGATTTTGATGGCATAGCAAAATAATTTAGGACGGATCAATACATATTGAATGTATCTTCAATTGTAACGATATTGCAACACTTGTAACTATTTTAAAACTATTAAACACTAAGAGAAAGCATATGCGTGTTAATTAGAGTATATTTCGGTCTCACATCAATACGGGCGATTCACAATAGTGCGCCTCCAAGAGTTTGCAACGCGTTGGCCAATCACAATGCGCGAAATCAGTCGACAATTTCCAAACGTGCATTGGGTCTACCTATTTTGTGCATTGTAATTGGCCAACGCGTTGCAAACTCTTGGAGGCGCACTATTGTGAAGCGACCGTATTCGCGTATAAAGTTATCTACCATATGTTGAACGCTTTTCAGCGACTTCCACTGTTGCCTGTTAAGGTGAATGCCTTTAACGATGGGATACAATCCCTCTGAAGTGAAATGTTCTGACGTCAACAATGATATTTTCCTCAAAAGTACAGATACTGATAAATATATTTCCGGTTAAAGGGAGAATGTGATCACAACCAAACTCCCGAGACGCACTGGGTTTGTAGACATTTACAGTCTGTAACACAGAATATGTCGTTGGATCGACGGACGTCAAATTGCACGCATTCTGAACGTCTGAAGGTTGAAATACGAACCAAAAGTTCAGCGTTATTGATATAACCATCATGAAAAACATAACGATGCCTACAGCGCGCACGCAGTTAATTATCCCTCTTTCCATGTCTGTATCAAAACCTTCAACTTGTACCACTACTTCGGACACAATCATTCATACGCGATGTGCGTTATATGACACTGCTGACACCCGATTATTATTTTTTCGAACTTTTATATAGGTTTTTCCGGCCAATTTCCTAAACTGTTCATTCACTTCTGAAAATAGGTAATTCGTTTTCGTCTGAATTTGAATGCAAATCTTTAATCTCATTTCAATTCAACAGAAGACCAATAGTATTCGTCTTCCGTGCATTCGGTTTTGAGAAACAGAAGGCCAATTACGTATATGCATTCATTTACGCAAGCATACTTTTTCGTGCAGAATTCTGGCATACAATTTCGTGAATGTGCAATCAAAAGTACGTTTTTTTCATTCAAAATAGCAGATTGCATCACATAAATTACGTTTTTTCATTCAAAATAGCAGATTGCATCACATAACATTAAACTAAGAGTGACCAAGGTTTGAAATCGCCCACTAAAAAGCGAAAAGGAAGTCTTGTTAACGAATTTGAATGGGCATAAACGAAAGGTGCTGCTCAAACACCTAATTGATTGAACTAAAATGGAATCGAATGCTCTGGTAGCGAAAATGAACGCGTGTTCAGAGCGATTTTCAAATTCAGACGAAAATGAATGACCGATTTTCAGAAGTGAATGAACATTTTAGGAAATTGGACGTTAAAACCTATAGTTAGAGTGTTTCCAATTAACAAGGCAATAGAAACTTTGTGCTCATTCATTAAATATATTTTCATGCATTTGCTTATAAATATCTGCCCTGGATAGTCCAAGCGTCACTTATTACAGTCTCACTTTCCAAGGATTATCTACTGCCGGCCACACAACTGGCCGTGTTCACTGCCGTTCCCGTTGCACCACCGAATGAAATTCATAACTATACTGCATTGAAATTTTATATTTCCCCCCATACATTATGCAATCTTTCCCATAGAAAAGGTCAAACTGTACTCGGTTCCTTACCCTCACCTATCCCCTATTCATTTCCATCCACACAAAAGGTCAAATTGTGCCATCATTTCTTAACCTCATCAATTAATATTTATATCTGTATTTACATATTTACATATGTATGTGACCTTTACATATTTCTTTGCCAAAGGTCAAACTGTACCAGACAGGCCACCTACACTACTCTGCTTAAGGGTTCCATCACAAGGGAACCTTCACACGAAGTTTTGTGTTCCTTTGAACCCCTCCCCGAGCCTGGAGAAATCAATTGTAGCTATAGATCGTTTGAATGAGGCGTGTGCTATTATTAAATAGGAGAGGACCTCTGGGTGCATTCATTGGTTATGAAATAAGATTTAAAAAGCACATCAACGTCGGCTGCTGCATGTATTCGACGTTTTGTTTGAAACTGTGACCAAATGCAACAGGTTCCATACACAAATGAGATCAAATCCCCCTGGCAAAATCTTAATACGCAAGTAAGTGCGAGGGATCTTGCTTTCTAAAGGGACGCCACCGCTTACGTGGTCATGCCTGGGTTTTCTTATAAAACTTTTTATTCATTTAATAACTTTTGCAAATATTTACTTTTAGGAAAGCTGTGATAAAGATGTGCCGAACGTAAATGGGCAGACTGCACTTCACTTGGCCACGGACTGTTGCAACAGCAAAAGTGTCGAGATTCTTTTGAACAAAGTTTCAAACGTGAACGCCCAAGACAAAGCAGGAGACACCTGCATGCATCTGCTCATGATCAAAGTAAAGGTTATCTTTCATGTACTTACATTTTAGGGATTGCTGGGTGCAGTGTAAAACGTTTCTTTTCACACAGTTAAGGTGACATCTAGAACCTGTGTAGAAACAATTTATAGAAAAAGGTTGTTTAATCTAAGCTTACCTATTATTCCAATGAACAAAAATGGTGCATGGCTCAATATTTTGCAAAGGCCTTTATTTATTTACGACCTGCTTTAAAACTCAACATTCAGTATTTAACAAGAATAGACCAACAAGCATATTCTAATAAGCACTCACAATTTGTTTAGACCTACCTAAACCCTTAAAGGGCCGACTTTCCCCGCTTTTCGACAAACACTGTTTCGATTACTTTACCGCACATGACATAAAATTACCGAAACGGCCGTATGTTTGTACAAAAACATACGTAAATCTAGTTGGCTTTGTTTTTGTTCTCATTTTTTTGGCTTTTACGCATAGTTGTGGAAAAGTCTTTCTCTTTGTTCTCACTTTTTTGGGCTTTCCGCATAATTGCGGAAAAGCCTTTCTTTTTGTTCTAATGTCTTGGCTTTTCGCATAGTTGTGGAAAAGCCTTTCTTTTTGTGCTGTGTTTTCTTTCTTATTTTTGTTCCCTGGAAATTCCCATTGACTTTGTACACGTCTTTTCTCAAGGCAACTTTTGGCATTGATCAGCAAAGGCATAGTCCTTATAGCATAGTTGTGTTCCGAAGGGTGACGTAATCATGACGTCATCATGGGTCAAGTGACGTCACGTTAAAGATTAATAGATTTAATCTTTGAAAATCAATATTAAATCAGCAGTTAGAGACCCCAACTTGACGTTGTGGGAATTGATAGAATAATCCTGGATCTTCATTTTACCTGGCGTGAGCAAAATCACGTGACTCTTCCTTCCGGTCCAAACCGGAAGTAACTCAAAGTGATAGAATAATCCTGGATCTTCATTTTACCTGGCGTGAGCAAAATCACGTGACTCTTCCTTCCGGTCCAAACCGGAAGTAACTCGAAGTGCCTTATATCTTAAAATTGCATACTAGTACCATTATCTAGCTAAGTCTCCTGACGATCGGGCTTTCCCTTATATGTGTTTTCAAAAATCAGACGTGAATTTGCTTGCTACATTGTTAGTCTGTGGTTAGGTTGTTGTAGCGGACGTTGTGTATTATTTACCTTTTCTTATTATTTTTGTCATTAATTAATACCATTTAACCATCTTTAGGTTTAGAAAATATGTTATCCTCATTATCTAGCTTAGACCATGTACATGTACAATTTAGATGTACAATTTAGTGTAAGATCCCTTGACCACAGTCCCCGATCCCTGCACGACCTTGTTTCGCCCAACTCTGCCAGGCCTGGGTGGCGGTCCCCATAGCAACCTCCCCCTACTCCAGACCAAAACATTCCCTAAGGCGCCATAATTCACCCTGTTAGGACACTGTCTGTGCATTGACCATAGTTTTAGCCCATTTTCCCATCATTCTGTTGCTAGTGTCCAAACCTACAACACCTGCTTTTATACACCGTTATTAGTATACATAGTTAGTTTTCACACCGTTAGACACACCGTTAGACACCCAATTTTGGCAACACCCCCAGCGTAGTAAGTACATAGTTTTTCTTCATTTATCTATAGTTTAATTATTACTAGTTTAATATCTAATTGTTTATTTCCTTTTTGTGTACCCAATTTGCTTTAATCTACCATTTATATTAGTTTATAATTTCCTTTTATATTTTGTTGTTTTTCAGCAAAACCTTCCTTACTTCCGAATTATTCCTACCGTACTTCCATCCTACATCAGAACATCAAACCTCATTTCTGCAATTGATTGTGAACTGTAAATAAAGACTTAAAGGAAGCGTATATTGTACCATGGGACAAAATTCTTCACAACCATATAACGCAAGTCTATAGCTGTAGTCGGCTATATTAGTTTTGTACGTTCTCTGGAATTTCTATGAGACTTTCCCGTTATGGATAACATCAATAATGAGAACGATGGCGTTGGAGAACCTACAGTGGATCATGAGGGATTCCACAGTATCAATGTCGGTGATATCATGAACGATGGCGTTGGAGAACCTACCGAAGAACATGGGGGAGTCGACGATATCAATGTCGGAGACTCTGCCAGCCAGCATGGCTACCATTTACACCAACTCTTCCATGCCAGATCAACTACTTCATCAGTGAAGTCATCGACCTCCAGTGCCCACATCAAAGCCAAGGCAGAAAAGGCTGCACTTGAGGCAGAGGCCAAGGCCATGGAGGAGGAGAATGCCCTTGAACTTGAAACTCTTCAAGTTCAAATCAAAACCCAGCATCGCCATCTCAAATTAGAGCAGAGAAGACGAGAAATTGAGCTGAAGGTGAAATATGCCAGAGCCGATGCTCTTGCAAGGACATATGCTGAAGCTGCGGAGGCAAATTCAGAAGTGTGTTTCAAAATAAACCCTACACCCCAACCTACACCGAAGCGCCCTCTGGAACATGAGCATACCCCATTGCAGTCTCCACAGCCCAGTTATGTACCAACACCATTCACCATTCCCACACCCGCTGCTGCTCCATCAAACCAATTGCAACCCGACACAGGATACCTACTACACGAACTGATCAGAGACACGCGCGTTCATCAGCAATCCCTGGTGGAGGCACTTCAACTTCCCAAGGCGGAACTCACAACATTCGATGGCGATCCACTTAAGTACTGGACATTCATCCGTGAGTTCCAGAACACCGTTGCAAGGGAGACAGTAAGTGACGGTGCCAAATTGACACGTCTGCTTCAGTACTGCACCGGAAGGGCAAAGCAACTTCTCCGGTGCTGCACCGTGAAGGAACCCTCAGAGGGTTATACTCTAGCACTCCGTCTCCTCAAGGAGAGATACGGCGATGAGCACACCATATCACAATCATGGATTGACAAGGTGACAATGAGGCCCAATGTCACAGACAACCAATCCCTGCAAGATCTCGCAGATGATTTGCGATGCTGTCGTGAGACACTTGACACCATGGGGTACCTCAACGAATTAAACAACAGAAGCAACCTACTCCTCATTGTTGACAAGCTACCATACCACCTGAAAACCAGATGGCTACGAGAGGTACACAAAATAAAGAGCACCAAATCTAGACCCCCAAATATTGATGACGTCACGCAGTTTGTGACAACGGCAGCCGAGGAGGTTCGAGACCCTGTCTTTGGCAAAATCATCCAGAGAGGATCAACCAGAGGAGACACCAAGCCAAAGGTTAACAAGTCATGTGACCGACGGACGAATTTTGGCGTCCAAACCACATCTGCAGTGACAAACCCTATTGACAAACCCAAACCAAAGCCAACCTCACTCCCTCTTGATCCCTGCCCCAGTTGCGGACAAAACCACCACCTCAACCAATGCAACAAATTCAAGGCACTCAGAGTTAAGGACCGGCTTGCCTTTGTGCAGGGCAAGAGACTCTGTGTCAACTGCTACAAGCCTGGACATTTGGGTAAGGACTGTAAGGACGACCCTTTGTGTGCTCAATCCAAGGATGCGGCAAAAAACACAACAAGTACCTGCACCTCCCACGCCCGCAAAACGACCCACGTTCCTCAGGGGCCACCGACAATGGCCAATCTACAACAGGTGGGTCTTCAAGCTCATCCCAAGCTCAACCCGCAGACAATCCCATAATTGTCTGTAACTCCACTGGGGTCGGCGCTGGAAAGATTGCACTACCCATAGTTCCCGTTAAGGTCAGAGGTCGCGGGGAACAGCAGTTTGTGAAAACCTATGCTCTCTTAGATACCGGTTCCACGCAGAGCTTCTGCTCAGAGGATTTGACACGACGCCTAGGCATCTACGGCAAGGAGGACACCATCAGACTCACTACACTTGACCAGAAAGAAGTTCAAGTACACACCAGTGTCGTCCACCTCGAGGTGGCCGACCTTGATGACACACACCTATATTCGTTGTCTGATGTTCTTACGAGGCCCCAGCTAAACGTCGGCCTCGACAGTCTTGCCGTTCAAGAAGACCTAAGCCTCTGGCCACACCTCAGTGATTTACCGATACCAGATGTCAACATTGACGATGTACACCTTCTTATTGGACAAGACGTCCCAGACATAATGATACCTAGTGAGGTTCGCGCTGGCTCAAAAGGCGAACCTTATGCTACCAAGACCGCTTTGGGATGGACCCTAAATGGTCCAGTAACACACCAGAAGAGGCCGAAGTCTTCATCCTCCTACTTCGTCAAACCAGACATGGATCTTCAACGCCAGGTTGAAAGATTTTGGAGGATTGATGACGTGCAAACCGTGGGCAGTGACAATGAGACGATGTCTGTCAGCCAAACGAAAGTTCTTTCAATTTGGGAGAACTCACTGCACCGTGACGGAGTTAACTACACCATGGACATTCCATTCAAGGAAAGACCACCGCATTTGCCCAATGACAGGTTGATGGCAGAACACCGACTTAAATTGTTGGGTAAGCGTCTTTCCAAGGACCCCTCACTCAAGGAGAAGTACACCAGCGGCATCCATGATCTCCTTCAGAAGGGATATGCAGAGCCAGTTCCTGCGGAGGACATTGATCGAAGAGATGGCTGTGTCTGGTATCTCCCACATCATCCTGTGATCAACCCGCCTAAACCAGACAAGGTTCGCATTGTATATGACTGCGCCGCCCGCTACCAAGGTACCTCACTAAATGATACCGTCTATCAAGGACCTGACCTGACGAACAAGCTTATCGGAGTCCTTCTGCGTTTCAGACAAGAACGCATAGCTCTCATGGCCGACATTGAAGGCATGTTTCATCAGGTTCGTGTGTCCATGGCTGACCGAGACGCCCTTCGTTTCCTTTGGTGGAAGGGAGACGATATTGAGTCCCAACCACTGATGTACCGGATGACAGCTCACTTATTCGGAGGAGTTTGGAGTCCAAGTTGTGCTAACTTCACCTTGAAGCGTGTAGCACAAGATTACCATGAGTTGTACGACACTGCCACCATTGAGACCATAGATCAAAACTTCTATGTTGACGACTGCCTCAAATCCGTTTCTTCCGAAGATGAAGCCACTCGGCTAGTCAGTCATTTACGTGAGTTGCTGGCCCGTGGAGGATTCCGACTGACCAAGTGGTTAAGTAACTCTCGCGCCGTGTTGAAGTCACTACCCCAGGCCGAGTGTGCAAAGGCTGTCACGTCCATGGACCTAGATAAGGAACTACTTCCATCAGAGCGAGCATTGGGAGTACTTTGGAAGATCGAGACAGACACCTTTGGATTTGACACCAACCTAAAAGAGAAACCCGATACCCGAAGAGGATTGCTGAGCGTCACAAGCTCAATATACGACCCACTTGGATTTGTCAGCCCCATCGTCCTAAAAGCAAAGATGATCTTCCAGACACTCTGCCGCCTCAAGATAGGGTGGGACGAGCCTATTCCCAGCACCATTCTCGAGCAGTGGAAACGGTGGTTAACAGATCTGCCGTTGATAGAAGGAATGAAGGTACCAAGATGTGTTAAACCTGTCCACAGTGAAGCCATTGTCAAGGCACAGTTACATCATTTCGCAGATGCGTCCGAACGAGGTTATGGTGCCGTCAGCTACCTACGTCTTACTGACACCGACGGTTGTAATCACTGTTCGTTCGTGATGGCTAAAGCTAAACTTGCACCGCTTAAGACGACTACTATACCTAGACTGGAGATGGCCGCGGCAGTTGTGTCTGTGAAGCTTGACAGAATGATCAAACTCCATATGCAATTACAATTTGCAGAGTCCATCTTTTGGTCTGATAGCATGATTGTCCTCCAATACCTCAGCAATGAAGATAAGCAGTTCCAGACCTATGTCGCCAATCGAATCGCCATGATCCAAGATCAATCCTCTCCAAACCAGTGGAGACATGTTGATTCTGCCTCAAATCCAGCAGATGACGTATCAAGGGGATTGACGGCCCAACAACTCATCGACTGTGAACGCTGGTTGAATGGTCCAGCCTTTCTTCTGAAGGAGGAAGATGCCTGGCCAGTTCAACCAGACTTCAAGTCCCTTCAGCTGCAAGAAGAGGCTGAGGTTAAGAAGGAACCACTGGTATACGCGACCAATACCAACACCACACCAATGTCCGATCCTATGGATGACTTGATTGGCCGCTACTCATCCTGGTACGCTCTGAAGAGAGCACTGGCTTGGGTCCTCCGTGTGAAACAGTTGTTGCGCATGAGAGCTCTCAAGCTGACTGACACAACCACCCTAGCTGGCAAGTCTCTGTCAGTTAAGGAACTCCAAGATGCCGAAGCTGCAATTGTCCGCCACACTCAGCACACTGCGTTCAACGAGGAGCACCTGAAGTCAATTCGCCTTCAAAGGTTGTCCCCCATAACCTCGAACAACGGTATCTTATGTGTCGGCGGACGCCTGACGAATGCCAACATACCACACCAAGCTAAACACCCATGGATCATGCCAAATAAACACCGAGTGACCGAGCTCATCATTCAGCAATACCATCATCAGTATGGACATTCTGGTGGCGAAAGGATCCTCGCTGAGCTACGCCAGAAGTACTGGATCGTAAAGGGGCGCATAGCCGTTAAGCGCGTTCTTCGTCACTGCCTAGAATGCAAGAAGAAGAAGGCAACCCCTGAAACTCAAGTGATGGCGGACCTGCCCAAGGATCGAGTAACCCATGGAGCAGCACCATTCAGCACAGTAGGTGTTGATTTCTTTGGCCCTTTCATGGTGAAGAGAGCCCGCAGTGAGTTGAAGCGATATGGTTGCTTATTCACTTGCCTCACCACTAGAGCCATCCACATAGAGGTCTGCCAGAGCCTAGAAACGGATTCCTTTATAAACGCACTGCAGCGCTTTATAAGTCGCTATGGACAGCCAGCCCAAATCCGCTCGGATAATGGGACCAACTTCGTAGGAGCGCAACGCGAACTTCGTCGTGCTCTACAAGACTGGAACCAGCGCCAAATAGAGAACTACCTGCACCAGCGAGAAGTCCAATGGATTTTTAATCCGCCAGCCGCTTCGCACATGGGTGGAGTTTGGGAACGACAGATACGGACCATTCGCTCTATTCTAGGAAGTCTCCTTCACCAGCAGCTGACTGATGACGAAGGACTAAACACTCTGATGTGTATTGTTGAGGGAATAGTAAACGGACGTCCCATCACAAAGCTTTCAGATGATCCCCAAGATGCCTCACCTCTCACACCCAACCACCTGTTACTCCTTCGATCTGGTCAGACCCTACCACCTGGACACTTCGATGCCAAGGATCTCTATAAGAGACGCTGGCGCCAGGTCCAGTACCTCGCTGATGTCTTCTGGACCCGATGGTTGAAGGAATACCTCCCATCACTGCAGCACCGCCAGAAATGGCTACATCCCCAAAGAAATCTTCAGGTTGGAGACCTTGTTTTGATCCGTCACGAGAGCACCCCACGCAGCAAGTGGCCTTTGGGTCTTATTGTGGCCACGCACCCAGGGAAAGACGGATATGTCCGCTCCGTGCGAGTCAAAACCCAAGCCGGAGTGTATGTTAGACCGACTGACAAGATCTGTCTTCTTGAAGCCGAGTTGACACCACCGACTGCGACGACTGATACCAGCCAGGATGAGAATGATAATGATTAACACTTAGTTATTAGTGAAGCTATTCAGCTTAAGTTTCCTTACATTTTAGGAACTAGTCTTCTTCATCTTAAACCTGCTTAGTATTTCATAGAGAGATTTAGAGCACAACTGTCCTTGACTTTCGTGGATGACACATTCAGATATGTCATCGGGGTCGGACGTTGTGTATTATTTACCTTTTCTTATTATTTTTGTCTTTAATTAATACCATTTAATCATCTTTAGGTTTAGAAAATATGTTATCCTCATTATCTAGCTTAGACCATGTACATGTACAATTTAGATGTACAATTTAGTGTAAGATCCCTTGACCACAGTCCCCGATCCCTGTACGACCTTGTTTCGCCCAACTCTGCTAGGCCTGGGTGGCGGTCCCCATAGCAACCTCCCCCTACTCCAGACCAAAACATTCCCTAAGGCGCCATAATTCACCCTGTTAGGACACTGTCTGTGCATTGACCATAGTTTTAGCCCATTTTCCCATCATTCTGTTGCTAGTGTCCAAACCTACAACACTTGCTTTTATACACCGTTATTTGTATACATAGTTAGTTTTCACACCGTTAGACACACCGTTAGACACCCAATTTTGGCAACACCCCCAGCGTAGTAAGTACATAGTTTTTCTTCATTTATCTTATAGTTTAATTATTACTAGTATAATATCTAATTGTTTATTTCCTTTTTGTGTACCCAATTTGCTTTACTCTACCATTTATATTAGTTTATAATTTCCCTTTATATTTTGTTGTTTTTCAGCAAAACCTTCCTTACTTCCGAATCATTCCTACCGTACTTCCATCCTACATCAGAACATCAAACCTCATTTCTGCAATTGATTGTGAACTGTAAATAAAGACTTAAAGGAAGCGTATATTGTACCATGGGACAAAATTCTTCACAACCATATAACGCAAGTCTATAGCTGTAGTCGGCTATAGTTGTACTTCACACAAAAAGTGCAGGTGAAGTCATAACATTTTAGAGCGCCCTCTAGTGGCAGGTTGAACACATTTGTAAAGGAGTTTTCAGTAATCTGGCGGTCAGTCTTTTACAGGGCTGACAAAACACCAGTTACTGCCAAATCTGAATTGACATCATAATGACGCCATCAACAAATTTTCTTATATTTTTCATCTGTCGGCGGTAGCTCAAAAAACTTTTTATGAACTTTGAACAAAACATATTATTTACATGACTGCACATTGGAAAAACACAAAGTCAATGCAAAATAATAAATGGAAAAGCCCCTTATTTTCAAACAGACATAGACCTCTAATTTTTCATTTTGGCTGTTTCGGCAACCAGCCGAAACAGCCTTTGTTTTCGATAAAGTTTTTTTCTTCTTTTTTCCCCCTTCTTTTTCAGCCATTCCCATAGCATTGGTACACGTTTTCATCGTAGAAGGCACATTGGGCAATAAAATCAACCCGATCGACTCGGTACACACTTAGTCCAGCATCTGAAAATGTGTGCCAAACATTGACGTCATCAAGACATTATCACGTGGCCCTGGACGTCACAATATAGGTGGATATTTTGTAGGCAAATATCTCCATAACTACAAGTCCGATGGTATGTACCTAAACCGGGATGTGTTACAGATGAACATTTAAGTGACGTCATCAGGACGTCATCACGTGACATCTGATGTCATATTAACAGGGCATATTTTGAAGGCCAATATCTACAGAACTGCAGGTCTCATTGGGTTTTAAGTTGGTATGTACCTAGACCGGGATCTGTTATATATGGAAATAAAAGTGACGTCATCACGCGACATGTGACAGCATATTAAAGTGCATATTTTGAAGGCCAATATCTACAGATCTACATTGGTCTCGATCACTCTACAACACATGTTGTCCTAAAGACAATAAAGTTAGTTTGATATTGCACATTGGACATTCACATTCTTTGTACAGGGAATGTCCATGTTGCAGTTTGGATATTGGACATGGGATATGCACATTGGTTTGTATAGTGAATGTCCATAATTTATTTGGATATTTGACATTGGACATTCACATTCGTTTTTACAGGGAATATCCATCTTGCTGTTTGGATATTGGACATTGGATATGCACATTGGTTTGTGTTGTAAATGTCCATAATTATTTGGATATTGGACATTGGACATTCATGTAGGTTTGTTTAGCAAATGTCCATATATTTTGAACTCCGAGAGGAGGCGTAATTGAGATGGCCCCTGCCGTGAATCGCACCGTCGGATCCCACCAGACGCCCTGCTCCGTTTGTCTGGTGAAACACGGACATTGGAAATGCTCATGGCTTTGTATGGCGAATGTTCATGTTTTACTTGGATATTAGACATTGGACAATCCAATAGGTTTGTATAGCGAATGTCCACATTTTTAAAGTTCATAAAAAGGCGTGATTGTGATGCCCACCCTACCGTAAATCGCGTCGACGACTCCCAGAAGACGCGCTGCTAAGTTTGTCTGGTAATACACGGACATTTGAAATGCCCACACGTTTGTACAGCAAATGTCAATATTTTGTTACACTCCAGGAGGAGGCGTAATTCAGATGCCCCCAGCCGTGAATCGCACCCTCAGATCCCACCAGACGCCCGGCTCCTTTTGTCTGGTGATACACGGACATTGGAAATGTGTATGGTTTTGTATGGCGAATGTCCATGTTTTACATGGATATTGGACATTGGACAGCCCAATGCCGTGAATCGCACCGTCGGATCCCACCAGACGCTGTGCTCCGTTTGTCTGGTGATACACGAACAATGGAAATGCCTATGGTTTTGATTGGCGAATGTCCATGTTTTACGTGGATATTGGACATTGGACAGCCCAATAGGTTTGTATAGCGAATGTCCACATTTTAAAGTCCGTAAAAAGGCGTGATTGGCATCTTTTGTCGGTGCAGCAGGGTATCCAGCATTATTTTTTGGCACATCCGTGCTGAAATGTCAACATTTTTTTTTAACTGGACACTGCCCCCCCAAAAAAAAAAATTACCCAAGTGCTCCTCTTGCGGACATAAATGTGCCCTCTTGAGATCAAAACCAAACTGGCGCTAAAAATAATGATAATTTGTTTTCAGTAACCATTTCCCAAAATGGTATACAGAGTTCTGATATGAACGAGGAATATGAAAACCAAGCCCCCAAACCATTTCAATGCGCCCGAAAAATAATGGGCACCTAGTGCGTAGTTTGCATAATGGCCGGTTTTGAAGAGACCCCCCCCCCTGTATTTTAGAAGATGGTACCAGTCCCCCCCCCCCTCCCCCGCACTATTTGATTTTACGAAGGCCAAGTGTCCAGCTAAAAAAAAAATGTTGACATTTCAGCACGGATGTGCCAAAAATAATGCTGGGATACCCTCATGCACCGACAAAAGATGCCTTTTACTGAGCGAGTGCCCCTTTCGGTGATGCCCCCTCCCCCCTGTTTGAAAACTGTTCCGTCGCCGCTGCTCCTCCTGGACTAATATGGACACTCGCAATACAAACCTATTGGGCTGTCCAATGTACAATATCCATGTGAAACATGGACATTCGCCATACAAAACCAGAGGCATTTCTAATGTCCGTGTATCACCAGACAAACGGAGCAGGGCGTCTGGTGGGATCCGACGCCGCGATTCACGGCAGGGGGCATCTCAATTACGCCTCCTCCCGGAGTTTGAAAAATATGGACATTTGCTGTACAAACATATAGGCATTTCAAATGTCCGTGTATTACCAGACAAACTTAGCAGTGCGTCTTCTGGGAGTCGTCGACGCAATTAACGGCAGCCAGTGGGCATCACAATCACGCCTTTTTACGGACTTTAAAAATGTGGACATTCGCTATAAAAACATATTGGGCTGTCCAATGTCCAATATCCATGTAAAAAATGGACATTCGCCATACAAAACCATAGGCATTTCCGATGTTCGTGTATCACCAGACAAACGGATCAGGGCGTCTGGTGGAATCCGATGGTGTGATTTATGGCGGGGGGGGGGGGCATCTCCCGGAGTTTGAAACATTATGGACATTCGCTGTACAAACATAATGGCATTTCAAATGTCCGTGTATTACAAGACAAACTTAGCAGCGTGTCTTCTGGGAGTCGTCGACGCGATTTACGGCAGCCAGGGGGCATCAGAATCACGCCTTTTTTATGGACTTTAAAAATGTGGACATTCGCTATACAAACCTATTGGGCTGTCCAATGGCCAATATCCATGTAAAACATGGACAGTCGCCATACAAAACCATAGGCATTTCCAATGTCCGTGTATCACCAGACAAACGGATCAGGGCGTCTGGTGGAATCCGACAGTGTGATTTACGGCAGGGGGGGGGGGGGGGGGGGCGGCATCTCCCGGAGTTTAAAACATTATGGACATTCGCTGTACAAACATAATGGCATTTCAAATGACCGTGTATTACAAGACAAACTTAGCAGCGTGTCTTGTGGGAGTCGTCGACGCGATTTACGGCAGCCAGGGGGCATCAGAATCACGCCTTTTTTATGAACTTTAAAAATGTGGACATTTGCTATACAAACCTATTGGGCTGTCCAATGTCCAATATCCATGTAAAACATGGACAGTCGCCATACAAAACCATAGGCATTTCCAATGTCCGTGTATCACCAGACAAACGGAACAGGGCGTCTGGTGGGATCCGACGGTGCGATTCACGGCGGGGGGGGGGGGAAATCTCAATTACGCCTCCTCCCGGAGTTTAAAAAATATGGACATTCGCTGTACAAACCTAGGTGAATGTCCAATATCCAATATCCAAATACAATATGGACATTCACTATACAGACCAATGTGCATATCCAATGTCCAATATCCAAACAGCAACATGGACATTCCCTGTACAAACGAATGTGAATGTCCAATGTCCAATATCCAAATAAATTATGGACATTCACTATACAAACCAAATGTGCATATCCAATGTCCAATATCCAAACAGCAACATGGACATTGCCTGTACAAACAAATTTGAAAGTCCAACG